GCTGGTAGATGATTTGGTTTGATGATAGCCTAGAGTGACAGCTTTGAACCAGTGTGTTCGTCATCGAACTAAACGTTCTACTTCTCAAACCAACGAGCACACCAGTCAAACCAGTTCGTTTTGTCAACTGATCGAAGGAAGACTTCACTCAGCTAACTTGCTTATAAACGAAATTTATTATCGAGTGTAATAAAAATAACTGAGATTTAATTAATCATAAAATCAAAATGCTATCCCGGATGAGTTAGAAGTCGCGACTAAATTACGAATGATCTACGCTACGATTGACGGCAGACTGTTGTTGGTTGTCTTTTGTCAAGAGAGTGTGCGGGTAAGTCACCGTCTATTATTTTCTCTTAAAGAAAATGTCTGTCGTCTCAGCTAACGACCCAACGGCTAGAGATCGCAGCCCTGTACATGGTTTGCGCGGTTTTGTCTGTTTTCGTGAGAGTCGTTTTGTTACCTGTGTTGATAAACCTGTGTCATTTCAACACTGCATGGCCACAATTTTATGCTATTTTAAACCTATTTCTGGTGTCTCTACCATGGCTAGAAGGTCCTCCACTTTCGTTTCCAAAAGCACAGTAAGAACAAAATCTGCGACTCAGAGCAGGCCCTTTGCAACAACTTCCGCTAGCTTGCCAATGAACTAACTATACAGTAATAGGGGTATTCTGCTCGAATCTCCAACTGAACAAGTACACAGATCGCGAAGAGGTGTCTAGGTCAGTTTTATTATCATTTACGTAGGCATCGTCGCTTGACGCTTTTCGTCGCACGGTTCAACCGTGCCTGTACATGCGTCTTTTTCATTTCTGGTTTGCTTAGCCATCGTGTCACATGAGATAAGCGTCATTTCATTTATCGAGCTCCAGTGACTATCACACAGTACTTTTACAACTTAAACCTCTCCGCTCTGTGCTCATTTTTGCTAGCATTTTAAACTGAACGAACAAGGCAGCCACAGGGCTCTATGCCAAAATACACTGAACCTGATTCAGTTGTGGATGGTAAGTGATGTAAGCCTTATTCGTTTAATGTAATTTGATCCAAGCAGGAGTCTCATATGCCGTAAGTATGTCTCTTGATGATTTTCATACCATGAGCTTATCTTTTTTGTGGAAATGAAAATGTCGCTGACGATATTTGAAATATGGTTTAGTTTCTCGGCCGGATTTTCTTGTTATGTGGGCTACTTCCTGATACCGCAATGATTCCTCAATCATACAAATGCTACGTTCAAGAAAACGATTCATGTGCCGCTTTAACTATGGAGACTTGAAATATTTCGCCTTGGTTAAGCTGAGCTGGTGCTTATGTTCCAAGTTTATTCCAACACTTACTCAACCATACGAGTATTAGCGAAGGGCCAAACGGGCGCAATATCTTGTTTAAATTTAATGTCTCTTGTAAGATAGATTATTATGCTGAAGATCCTATGTCAATTTGCATCTGAACGAAAGAGTGTTCGTGCAGAATTTTTTTTTTACTCAATTAGCTTTCGTTCTCGCCAAGTTTTCTCTTTTGCGCCTGAACAAAAAGCAGAGAAACTTTCCGTACGTTTTTGTCTTCCAAAAAGCTGAAGGTAAATAATTGTGTGGTCCTAGCTGTTCAGCGTCAAATTACCTCGCAGAAGCTGGTTTTGAAGATAATTTTTCACAAAAGCATTTCCTATACTTATTGTATAGCGCCACACAAAAAATATTTATTCTGGCTGCTTCTTTCGATATGAATGCGACATGATCTTGACAAAAACTAAAAAAAAAAGGCAGTATTCCTAAACTTGAATCATTAGGAATTGATTAGTTCAGGAAATGTAAAGCTGCAAAGCGCCGCGTCAAAGCGCTATTCCTATCCCCTGTCAATGCACCATCCATCAAACATTAATTGAACTATTTTATTAACAGTCAGGCTGATGGAGACTCTTGGGGAAATGTAGAAACTGCACCTTTAAACATAAAGGCCAAAGTTGACTACAGATTCTTGCAGTCAAATTAAAGAAACAACGATTAGAAACTATATCAATTAATTCATGAGAGAGAGCTTTTCGTTTGTGTTATATTAAACAAGTATTTACTCAGGCACAACAAGTACAAGAATTGAGATTTGTTTTGATTTTGTAGTGAACGTTGAAATGTTGGTTTCATTGAGGTAAAATATTGGAAAAGTTCTCGTTTTTAACATTTTAATTTTGACATCAGTAAAGTGATCCGAAATGTGACGTGTGCTTTCCCATGATTATGCAGGCTATGAAAACACAGTGTAAGGAAACAAATTTATAAGGAATTTGTCTCCACTTTTTGTGCATTGTTACGATCAATCACCATAGAATTCTAAATAACAAAACCTTGCGTTCCAAGACGCCATTGACTTAAAGCTAAATTATTTTTTTTTTTTTTTATTAAACTTAATTGCGTGTTATTTGCCCAGTGCATTATTTTTTTGTCGAACTAATAGAGCCCACTGAAGGTCTGTCATTGATTCACAGCTGCTCATGATCAAGAACAAACCGACAAATTCACAAAGAAGTACAATGACATACGTAGAACATAATTTCGCAATTTCCCCAGATTTCCTTCACTTTCCTAGATTACATTGAAATTGTTCATTCCACCGAAGGCAACTTTCTCTTTGGTTTGTCACACTGTTCGTGAGACCACTTGGCTAATTACCCACTAAAATGAATTTTAAAATACGGAGCACCTGCCTTAAGACTAGCGAGAAAGTACAAAATCTTCTTTTTGAGTTGATCTTGAATTTCCGCACGTAAAGAGGGTTTCTTTCTTGTTTGTTTTTTTTTTATACTCAAGTTTATGAATTAAAATCAACGGGGAGATCAAAGGCAAAAATGGGATTATTTATAGGAACGGACTGTAAATGACATGTGACATGTCCTAATTTGATGGTAAATCAATAATTATCCCTATTCAATAAATTATGGGTAACATCCATAAAAAATACTCTGCCTCTATGTAACTTAACTCAAATCTATCAAATAAGGCTTGCTTTGAAGACAAATAGCTTCTAAACGGTGTTCATAAGTTTGACCTCTTGACTGAGCTCTAAGTAGTTTTTCTGTGACTTTCAAAGCGGAAGACAAAGCCCGTGTTGTACGTGTCTTGAAAATTGATATGAGGCATGTTGGATTTGAGATCCATTTGAGGACTCCCACACGCAAACATTTATGTTTGATATTCCTGTCCAGCTGTCAAGAAGAGATGCGACCGAGACCCGCATTAATATTCATAGCAAATCATTTTGAAATGGTTAAAAAAGGGAAGGGATCAGGAATAACCTCTTTAGTTCATCAGGGTTCCTCAGTCTCGGGCCATTGAATTCTCAAAACGTTGGACAGGAGAAGCAACCTTATCGATCTCCAAAGGTATACCGTGTTTCTTGTTTTAGATCAACCTGTAAAAACACTTGGATCAGTGCGGTTGAAATGTTATTTTTTCCTTTTTTTTTTAATCTTCCTTTAGTAATAAGAGGCTACAAGTCTGTTTGCTGACAGCGGACTTCAGTGCATTCTATCGCAGGTACGTTCAACTGCCATGAGACGTTCAACGCTTCTTAACTCACAACAATTTGGAGGGAAACAAGTTGACTTTGTAAGGCGAATATATAGGCAGATTGATTTCCTGTTTCCAAACTAATTCTAACAACGTTACAGTCCATCAAAAATAATTATATACATGCGCCAACGGTGTCTTCAATAAGATATCATACATTGTTATCGTTTCCTTCTGATAATTTTTCTGGTAATTTTCGTTATTGTTATTATGCGAACAATTGAAGGAACCGTGCAGAAAATTGAAAATAAAAAAAAAAAAAAAAAAAACTGTTTCTGAAAGTTATCTTTATTCATCGGGACGGAAAACGACAAATAAGAAGATGACAAATTAGAAACGCTTTCGTCATAAAGGCAAACCAACAACGAAGACCAGTATTTATATATTTTAAGGATGAGAATACTTAATACATCTATGCAGAAGTGCTTAACCATGATTTCATTACTAAGATCACACAGATCACGGCACATGAAAGGAACGGAGTTTTAGACGAGCTCTCAGAGAATTCCAAAAGAATACGCTATTTTAAGACTTGTGTATGTACGTGGGTTATTGAGCTCTTCCCTTAATGGCTCGTCTTACTGCACGGGCTTTTAGCATATTAGAAGCACATTTTTTCATGGTAAACTCAAACGATGGAATTAAAATAGAAGCAAATATTGACTACGATATGGTACTGGAGAACCCTGAATGCCTGCGATCAGTGGCCGATCGATTTAACATTACAAAATCGATTTTATCTCGTGTTTATCGCAGAATTTGTGGAGGATTGCCAACAATCTTTCCGGTCAATATATGAGGTACCTACTAGTTTGAAATTGAGCACCGCTGGGCAAAATGATTAATTTCGGATCCTTCGCCTAAAGGAACGCGTTGGATCAGTGATCCAATGATCCGTCATTAGATCACGCAGATCAGTGAACCGACGAATCCTTGTCCAGAGTGGATTTGATAGATCACTGATCTGAAAATGGATTTGCTCGAAAGGAACGCCACAGATCAGAAATCCTGATCCGGATTCTCCCAAAGGAACGCACCCTAAGATTTTTTCACTAGGGTTATTTATGGAGAAAATCAAAATGTCCTGCTGTATTCCTTTTCCTGTTTCCAGTATTTCCGTTCCTGTTCACAGCTTCAGTGGCGTCCCGAAATATCATCGACTCAACCAAAGTGAACTTTGTTAAAAAAAAAAAAAAAAAAAAAAAAATTTAAATGTTTTTGTTTCCTTTGAATTTACAATCGATTCCTCTCACCACATCCCAGGTTGGTATCGAATAAGATTTTAGGGGGACCATGAGTGTTCCCTTTACCGATTATTTATTCAGTAATAACAGTCTTATCCTATTAAACTTTAGCAACAGAAAAAAACAGGAACTAAAGATGAAACCAGATACCGAGTGGATTGTTTTGACAGTCCTCTACGCCATCACGATGCTCGTAGCGTTTGCAGGGAATGGCTTCCTCATCTACATCGTGTGGAAGAAACCTGAAGTCAGATCACTGACAAGCTTTATGTTCGTCAACATGGCCATCGCTGATTTGCTTGTAACCCTGATTGTGATGCCCTGGTCGATTTCCACAATATATACAGACGGTTTGTGGATGATCCCGGGAGTATTTGGAAAAGTCATGTGTAAAGGTGTTGTATACACTGCCTATGTCACTATAACAGCATCCGTCCTCTGCCTGACGTTCATGGCGATCGACAGGTACTATGCCATCGTTCATCCCCTCCGCCGCCATCTTTGGTTTCGAAAGCCTAAACTAACCGTTCCATTTATTTGGATCGGCTCACTGGTCTCCATGTCCATTTTCCTTGTTATTCAAACCGTGGAAGACTACAATAATTCTTCCTATTGCATGCTATCTGTTTACATCTTGGGTGATCCAGATAGGGCTCTTCGAGGAATATACCTCCTCCTTTTCGTCGTCAACTATTTCATCCCCTTAGCCGTTATTTCTTGCCTGTATACCATCACTGCATGGAATTTATGGTTCCATGTTGCACCTGGAGTAAATAATTTGAGAGGAAATCGAGCGCAACTGGAAACCTCCAAGAGGAGAGTGGTTCGGATGCTCATTATTGTTACCTGTGCCTTTGCCCTCTGTTGGCTTCCACCACAAGTGGTCCACATGATGCAAATTATTCACGCATCTAAGGCTTACCTACATATACAGCCGATTGTCAGCTTTGTGTGTTTTTGGTTTGGACACGCTAACAGCGCCGTTAACCCATGGCTGTACATTTTTCTGAGTACCAAGATAAATACAGCATTTACCAGGATCGTCAGTAGAAAAAGCAGCCGGTTGCCTTCAAGTCTCACCATCAAAACATCAGATGCCGTCTTACCACCTGAAGATGAAGCAATCCAGAAAGAATCAAGAATATAATGTCTCTCATAACATGAAAGTTTTATTATTAATTTGGTAACTGTAAGATAAAAACTCGCTTAAAACGGATTTGCGTATTACTAATTATATAATATAATACAAACACCTATATACGGTTTCATAAAAGCTATTGTAGTAATCCGAGTAGTTTCATGAGAAATTGACAATTGCAACTAAATTTCGACAAGAACCGTTCCGTGTATATGCATACCGTTTTCGCGATAATAATTTAATTTTAACCATTTCAGGTTAAAATTACCTGTTTTGAAAGGAGATTTGTAAAAGCCTTCGGTTATGACATACACAATTAAAGCAAAAGAAATGCTTTTGGACCAAGAATCGTCTCATTCCGTTTAGAATGGAGCGCGCCAACCACTTGGCCACCCGATCTCCCTCAAGGTTGTAATATTTGTTCTTTCTTTTTTCTCTGAATTTGTTCTGAAATAATACAATCTTGAACAAAAAAAAACAAACAAACAAACAAACAAAAAAATAACTTAAAAAAAAAGAGAAAATGAACCTAATATTCAGGGCCTTGGACATTTCAGAAGAGTATAGAGAAATAGAGTTCAATTTTCAGAACTATCCAGCAAATTTTGTTGTTGTTGTCGGTGTCAAACGAGGTATTTCACAGTCATTACCGGCGATCTAGCTAATAAGCGAACTAGCTAATTAACGCGCGCGAAAAGCGCAATTCACCTGTCCGCTATCTACTAGTTTGGTTTGTTTATTCATAATTTTCTCATTGATACTAACCAATCGTTCCTCACAGTTTTCTTTAATTCTGTAGCACACGATGATAGTTTCAGCTGAAATCCAAGTGAGAGTTCTGTGTAATGGGGCGTTAATTTTGTTTTTTAGGTTTCAAGTGTCATAGGCACAAAATGGGGACAATAAGAAAAAATGAGATTTTCAAGGGGAACTCGGCAATACCTCGACAGAGTACCATAAGAAATATGCACTTTATTTTACAACGAGCAAGCAGCTGAGAACCTGAAAAAATAATCTGAGGCCTCGTTAAGAATTTGAACATCAGACCTTCCCATAGTGCCTTAAACTACGGAGCTGCGTTACAAGCCAGTCCAGCATACTGATAAGATCGGAAATCAGTATTTGCTTGAATATTCATCGGAAACTTTCGAAGAGATGGGGGAGACTCTGTGACCCTTAGTAGGTGGAGTGGGAACACTCGCCTTCTCATATGTAGTTGTGGCTTGAGTTCGACTCAGCGATTTTGGCGATACTTGTGGGTTGACTTGGTTACTGTTTTTTTTTCTTCAGTTATCCTAATTTTTCTCCCAATATTGATAACATCTATATCATTTTAGGATTATCAAGAAAAAATAAGAATTCCCGTGAAGAAAATAACCGCAATTGCTCTTGGAGAAGAGGTGGAAAAAAAAAACAAAGCAAGGAACGTCTCAGTGAACACGAAGAAACAAGTATCAAATTCCTAGAAGAGGCCATCAATTGCATACCTCTCGCAATTGAGGATGGAGCTGATTTTGAAAATGCCGCTTTCATTTTTAACCTCCAGCCGGGCAGTTTATTGTTATAGCAGGAAAGGGTCATTGGCAATATTAATTTTCTGAGGATGGCAGCAACAATATAACCTGTAAATGTGTCCGCAAACCCTGGTTGATGTACCTCTGGAACAAAGGCACATTTGGTTTTTCTAGTATCACCTTGTTATTGTTTCTTGCTGAAGTAGTCATCAAGGTTTTTAGGTTTAATGAAGTGTAATCTTGAATAGCTAAATGTAGGTTTTATTTCTCATTTAGTTGTGCATTTGAAAGCCTCAAACACTCTAGCCAAAGGTACCGGTTTAGTTAATTTCTTTGCGATATACAGAACGTCATTGCCTTCGTAGTTCCCGATCGCTATGTTCTGAAAGCTGCTCTTGTAGACTAAATTGTTGAATAGTAATAAGTAAATACAGGGAGATTTTGGCTGCGACCTCCCTTTGAAAAGGCCTCTATGGAAAAAGAGAGTGTTGTGAAGTGTTCTTACGATGCAAGGTTTTTTAAGGTTAGCATTCGAAGATTGTGCCACTCCTACCCCCTTACGATAGGTTCCATTTTTGTCTTTCTCCTCTGGTCGTGCAATTACTTGAAATTTTGTCTCTAAACTGGTCGTGTTGAGTACTTTATTTTTAGTTTCCTAAATGCCACTCGTAAAAGTTTAAGCTGATTATTGTATAGTCGTTGTACGAGTCTTATTAGAAAAGTTTAAATATCTCGGGGTTTTTATGGACCCAACACTTTCTTTGAAGTCCCACATTAATTTCTTTGGAAAGAAGATCTCGTCTAGATTAGAAATGTTGCGTAGAGCACGAAAGATCTTGCCTCAGTCATCCTGTATCATTTTGTACAACGCAATGATACTCCCCCTTTTTGAGTATTGCTCAGTTGTATGGGATAGTTCTGGGGCTATATCTAAAGGGTATCTTGATAAACTTAATGGGCGTGTGGCGAGTATTATCTTAAATAGGGCTGTGAGTGAAACAGATATTATTCGTATTCTTGGTTGGCCTAACCTTCAGTCTTGTAGAGACTATCTTAAATGCATGCTGGTTTTCAAATCTACGAACGGCTTAGCACCTTCCTACCTATTGAGTGATTTTACTCGAGCTAAGAAATATCATACATATAAGACCAGGCACAGGGATTTGATTCGTCTTCCTTTGCCCAAAAGCACTAAATATCAAGGCAGTTTTAGATATAATGGTGGGTGCACTTTTAATAATCTGCCCAAAGCAATAAGATCGCTGGAAAGCCCTTAAACTTTTAAAACTGAGTGAAAGCGGTTTTTTAAACAGATTTAATTAGTTATATAGACTTTGTATGTATTTTCTCCGATGAGTTTTACTTTTGTCTGTCAATTTTAAGTAAGTTTGTATTGTCAAATTTTGTTTTTGCAGGGCTCTCTTTAAACTAGGGATGCTAAATGTGATGTCCCTGTTTAAATATTGTTTAAATAAAATAAATAAATAAATAAATAAATAAAACGCTTTATTATAACATAGCGTGGGTGCTTGCTTGAGGTCAACTCTGTCTTTAAGTAAGTATCCTGAGAAAGATAGTAAGTTTATCATACAAATTTGTCGAAACGTCCACAGATCGAGAGATAAGCGAAGCAACTACGTCTGCATTCACCTTTAATGAAAAAACCCCGAGAAATCAGTCACATTTGAAAACGCTTTATTATAACATATCGTGCGTGCTTGCCCTATATAAGTCCTATTGAGCTGCTATGAACAAAATCTTTATTTACGTATGCCCGTACGTAAATAATATGACGTGAGCGTTTTTTTTACTTGGCTTCAGAGTTTCCGTCCTTTAATTGGGAATTTACTAAAACCAAAACAATCACAATTGCACTCTATCACAATAAAAGGCTTCTTCGCGCAGATCGTTGTTGTCGCTCTGTTTTCTATAAAAGAATTTGCTCATGCTTTTAGCTGTGCGTATATCGAGTTATGGATGCACTTGAGATAATAACGTAACGTCAGAAGACTCGTGTTCTTCTAGTTTATTGTTATGTTTAGATCTAGATTTGATGCGCTATAGTGTACTGCACCATTACCTAAAAATAAAAATTTGGTCATCATCAACTATAACTGCCGTCGTCTCCATTTAGGGCAGCAGAGGTTTTCATATGTCAGACACGTTCACCCAAAGTGTAGGCGGTAGATATAATCCAATGATCAACAATCATTGTTAATATGTGTTTTGGCGTTCAACTTGACAAAATATTCATTTAGTTTGGGTTTCCTCATTTCTTGTTTACCAAATGGGTTATCCATCTAAAATGGAAATTTTAAGGAAATTTTTTACTTTAATTTTTTATAAGGAAGAGACTTTTATCATTCTATTTTGTGATCAGCATTTGTCATGTTCTGCTTGCATTTAAATACTACTCTGAATCAGGTGAAGTCTCCAGAATCACGTTTTAATCTAAACTATGATGGAACTTGTAAAATAATCATCGAAGGCCATCTTAGATTAAAAATTTGAAATACGTCTTCGGGTCAGTGAAAATAACGAAATCTTTTCATTTGGGATTTATTTGGCAAGGAAATTGGGGATTTAAGATCCAGGACTGTAAATATTATAAATGAAGGAGGAGACAAGATATGGGAGTTTCTTCAGTTGGATTCGAAAAGACAGATCGAAAAGTTAGAAAAGACACCCACTGTAATCCGCTGTAACAATAAATTAACCATGTAAACATATTTTCCAAAATTCTGATCACAAGAAGGTCTTAACGAAAACCGTGTTCTCACGCAATACATACGAAATAAAAAATGATAACAAATTGAACATTTCTCAGTTATCTTGAAAACTGATAAGTCTTTAAAAAATATCCACAGTGATAGCGTAGGCATTCTGCACGCAAAAAAAGTAGCATATAAAAAGTAAACATATTTCAGTAATTTTTATGAAAAAAAAGAGTACGGTATGTTACCACACAATCAAAACAAAATAGGAAAAAAGATTAAAAATGAAACAATTTGAATTGACGTAATTCGAAATTGAAACTGTAAAAATTTGAAAGAAAGATGTGATCAAGGTGTTTTGGTTGAATTTTACGAAGCGATCACCATGCTTGAATCTTCACGCATCGTGGATTCACTGTACGGCCTCTCTTTTTGAAGTTAGAAACATTTAAAAAGTGCAAGAGAAACAAAAAACAGGTTTTTAAAAACATTATGAGTGGAAGACACATTTGATATTGGTAATTTTCAGCTATTTATTTAGGATCGTATGTGTGTGATAATTAGAACTATCCTGTCAATGTTGCCTCATCAGCGCGTCGAAAGTGTCTCGAATCGGGAGATTGTTTAAGGCAGAAGATGTTTTAATTTAGAAATATTTACTTTTCTTTCTCAAGGTATTACTTTTCGTCATTTTCCATCACTTGCCGTTAGATGACAAACCAGGTTTTAAGAGAAGAGGACAATAGGATTGGTTCCGTACTGCATGCAGTCGACTTTTTACTCTTTTGATTACACTGAAAAAAAAACAAAATAAAAAAAAAAAAAACGGAAAAACCTGAAGAACTAAGGTTCGAGTCCTCGCCTGGTTATAATAATATAATATATCCTAGGCCCCGCCTTCGTGAAAAATGGCTTCAATCTTTTTCCAGAAACGTTTTAGACTGATTTATGCGTCCGATGCAGATGTTATCAGACGTTATAATTTGCATATCTTGGGACGAGAGGAAATAAATTTGTATATGGTCGGTGCCAACAATAGCAATTCGTAATTTCAAATTTTCCACATGTTCGTGGATGAGACGAAAGTTGTAAGAACAAAAACGTGCCACACCAAGCACAGCCTAGTGTGACACTGTGAGTTACTACTGAAGAGACCCACGGCAATATTTATTTGCTTAAATATTGATTATCGGGATGCCAACGAGGAGTCTGTCCTTCAATTGAACATTAGTAAAAACTCATCCAAATGAGTGTGATTTATCTTGTTATACGAAGCTATGGCGGAGTATAGCGAGTGTTTATCAGGTGTATAACTTAACAGAAAAAGCAGTCAGACAGAAGTTTTTCTCGTATTTTTGTTTTCTTTGGTACCTATGCCCTCTGGGCCAAACTGGCTTTACGAAACTGCTCGAATTTATTAAAGAAAAGGAGGTAAACGTTTTGGCAAAAAGTTTCAAATTTCAGTTGTTTCTAGTAATTATTACGGAAATGCTAGATGATGGAGGAATTAGGTGAAGTTTCTTTAAATTAAAAAGAGTGTGATAAATGAATGAAATTGAAATATTTCGTTAAAAATTCCGAGTCAGTTGATGATAACGAAAGAAAATACCCCGACTTCTCTGACTTTTTTTGTAATTTTTCCATCTGAAGTTCATAGTTATTACCAATCAAGCTTTCAGAGCAGCGAATAATTTTGTAAGTATCCGAAATCGGTCGGGTGGTCACACTTTAAGAGGTTGGCTTGCGGAATCTCTAGAGTTGGGTTACATCACGTACAACCTTTCCATATAAAATTACAATTTGAAACCTGTTAATTTTGATGGTTTTATTAATTATTATCGGCTTAACGCTTCTGAAAGTCGTGATAATAAAATTATCTTTTATCTGTTTTTATTTTTTTAGCATGAAAAGTAAGACACGTGCATTGTGTCTGATCACAGTTTCTCTACTCACCAAGCCTCCATGACCTTCAAAACATAAAATGTCATTTTGTCAATGGGCAGCTAGCTGTGGGTTCGTTTTTTGTTCGGAGCCAGTTGAGAAGTGATTTGGCCTCTGAAAAATTCAAGCATTTGCGAGACTTCTTGGAAACTTCAAATTTCTTAATCTACAGATTAACTTTAAATATTGGGAATTTTGGATCAAATGCATCTATTAATGATGCATGACACAAAAAGATGGATAACATGGAGATGTAAAGTGTGAAAAAAGTGGGATGACATCTCTGAATAAATTCCGTCTCTATGCTTTTCTTTTGTTCTGAAAAACCAGAAGAGTCGTCGTTACGGACATAAATGCAATATTTGTTTTTCCAAACCAATGTATATCAGAGTTGCAATCCTTTTAAGGTCTTTTAACCCTCCTAATGTAGCTTAGTTAAAAATTGATCACGTAGGCATCCTCGTTTGATACAAGCACTTTGATCGTCGCTTGATAATACGAGCACTTTGATCGTCGCTAGATAATACAAGCGCTTTTATTTCACACGGTTCAACCGTACCTGCAATTTCCAGACATAAATTCGTTACTATAAGTTGTTATATAGACCTAAGACTGCACATTAAATGACTATTCCTCGTTCTTTCATCCAAGCCAACCGAGCCACCACATATTTAGACCTAAGACTTAACATGTGCACCATTAATCCTCGTTCTTAGATAGATACACTCGACTCCCGTTATTGCGGACAACCTCGAAATGATCCGAAATGTGATGTGTGCTTTCCCATGATTATGCAGGCTATGAAAACACAGTGTAAGAAAACACATTAATAAGGAATTTGTCTCCACTTTCTGTGCATTGTTACGATCAACCATCGTAGAATTCTAAATAACAAGTCTTGCGTTGCGAGACGCCATTGACTTAAAGCTAAATTATCATCTTCTTATGAAACTAAATTGCGTGTTATTTGCACGGTCTGTGATTGATTCACAGCTGTTCATGATCAAGAACAAACCGACAAATTCACAAGGAAGTAAAATGACATACATAGAACATAATTTCGCAACTTCCCCAGATTTCCTTCACTTTCCTACATTTTCCTAAATTAAAATTGTTTATTCCATCGAAGGCAACTTTCTCTCTGGTTCGTCATCTTGTTCGTGAGACCACTTGGCTAATTATTCACTAAAATGAGTTTTAAAATACGGAGCACCTGCCTTAAGACTCGCGAGAAAGTAAAAAATATCCCTTTTGAGTTAATTTTGAATTTCCGCAAGTAAAGAGGGTTTCCTTTTTGTTTGTTTGTTTTTTATACTCAAGTTTATGAATTAAAATCAACGAGGAGATCTAAAGAAAAAGTGGGATTATTTATAGGAACTAACTGTAAATGATATGACTTTCAAAGCGGAAGACTTAAGCCCGCGTTGTACGTGCTTTGACAATTGATATGAGGCATGTTGGATTTGAGATCCATTTGAGGACTCCCACACTCAAACATTTATGTCTGATATTTCTGTCCAGCTGTCCAGAAGAGATGCGACCGAGAACCGCATTAATATTCATAGCAAATCATTTTGAAATGGTTAAAAAAAGGAAGGGATCAGGAATAAGCTCTTTAGTTAAGCAGGGTTCATCAGTCTCGGGCCATTGAATTCTCAAAACGTTGGACAGGAGAAGCAACCTTATCGATCTCCAAAGGTATACCGTGTTTCTTATTTCAGATCAACCTGAAAAAACGCTTGGATCAGTGCGGTTGAAATGTAAATTTTTCCCAACCAAACCTCAACTCAAAGTGACTCAACCAAAGTGAACTTTGTTAAAAAAAAAAAAAAAATTTTAATGTTTTTGTTTCCTTTGAAATTACAATCGATTCCTCTCACCACATCCCAGGTTGGTATCGAATAAGATTTTAGGGGGGCCATGAATGTTCCCTTTACTGATTATTTATTCAGTAATAACAGTCTTATCCTATTAAACTTTAGCAACAGAAAAAAACAGGAACTAAAGATGAAACCAGATACCGAGTGGATTGTTTTGACAGTCCTCTACGCCATCACGATGCTCGTAGCGTTTGCAGGGAATGGCTTCCTCATCTACATCGTGTGGAAGAAACCTGAAGTCAGATCACTGACAAGCTTTATGTTCGTCAACATGGCCATCGCTGATTTGCTTGTAACCCTGATTGTGATGCCCTGGTCGATTTCCATAATATATACAGACGGTTTGTGGATGATCCCGGGAGTATTTGGAAAAGTCATGTGTAAAGGTGTTGTATACACTGCCTATGTCACTATAACAGCATCCGTCCTCTGCCTGACGTTCATGGCGATCGACAGGTACTATGCGATCGTTCATCCCCTCCACCGCCATCTTTGGTTTCGAAAGCCTAAACTAACCGTTCCATTTATTTGGATCGCGTCACTGGTCTCCATGTCCATTTTCCTTGTTATTCAAACCGTGGAGGACTACAATAATTCTTCCTATTGCATGCTATCTGTTTACATCTTGGGTGATCCAGATAGGGCTCTTCGAGGAATATACGTCCTCCTTTTCGTCGTCAACTATCTCATCCCCTTGGCCGTTATTTATTTCCTGTATACCATTACTGCATGGAATTTATGGTTCCATGTTGCACCTGGAGTGAACACTTTGAGAGGAAATCGAGCGCAACTCGAAAGCTCCAAGAGAAGAGTGGTTCGGATGCTCATTATTGTTACCTGTGCCTTTGCCCTTTGTTGGCTCCCACCACAAGTGGTCCACGTGATGACAGTCATTCACGCATCTAAGGCTTACCTACATATACAGCCGATTGTCAGCTTTGTGTGTTTCTGGTTTGGACACGCCAATAGTGCCGTTAACCCATGGCTGTACATTTTTCTGAGCACCAAGATAAACACAGCATTTACTAGGATCGTCAGTAGAAAAAGCAGCCGGTTGACTTCAAGTCTCACCATCAAAACATCAGATGCCGTCTTACCACCTGAACATGAAGCAATCCAGAAAGAATCAACGATATAATCCCTCTCATAACATGAAACTTTTATTACGAATTTGGTAACTGTAAGATAGGAACTCGCTTAAAACGGATTTGCGTATTACTAATTATATAATATAATACAAACACCTGTATACGGTTTCAGAAAAGTTACTGTAGTAATCCGAGTAATTTGATGAGAAATTGATAATTGCAACTAATTTCGACAAGAACCGTTCTCTCGGCTGGTAAGAATAAAAAAGGGGATCCGTGGCATAGTGAACTATAGGAAGAAGTATACTGGCATTGCTTCTGCGATGTTCTAGGCAGTATGGTGAGGGTGCTGAACTAGTGATCTGGTGGTCACGGGTGCAAGCCCTCTACTCTAATACTTGCTGGCTTTGTTCTCGTTTTTCCGTAGGGTCGATTCCTCGACTCGCTTTGTATACAGCCAACTGGTGTGCCCCCTGCTGGTTGGTATTTTTAAAGAATTTGATTATATACAACATCTGTTTTCCAATTTGATTGAAATGAGCATGAGAGCCCTATGGGGTATTGGTCAAAAAGGAAACACTGACATGTTTATTCCGTGCTCCGGGTAACGTTAATTAAGTGTATTTGCATACCGTTTTCGCGATAATAATTTAATTTTAACTATTTCAGATTATAATTAGCTGTTCTGAAAGGAGATTTGTAAGAGCCTCCGGTTATGACATATACAATTAAAGCAAAAGAAATACTTATGGACCAAGAATCGTTTTATTCCGTTTAGAAAGAAGCGCGCTAACCACTTGGCCACCCGATCTCCATTAAGGTTGCAATATTTCTTTTTTTTTTTTTTTTTTGTCTGAATTTGTTCTGAAATAATATAATTAAAAAAAAAAAAAAAACAACAACAACAACTGAAAAGGAAAAGAGAAAATGAAGTTAATATTCAGGGGCTTGGACATCTGAGAAGAATATAGAGAAATAGAGTTCAATTTTCAGAACTATCCAGCAAATTTTTTAATTTTAATAATAATGAGAAAATAGGCGTTGTCAAACCAGGTATTTCATAGTCATTACCGGCGATCTAGCTAATTAGCGAAGTAGCTAATTAGCGCGCGCGAAAAGCGCAATTCACCTGTCCGCTATACACTAATTTGGTTTGTTTATTCATTATTTTCTCATCGATACTAATCAATCGTTCCTCACAGTTTTCTTTAATTCTGTAGCACACAATGATAGTTTTCTTTAATTCTGAAGCACACAATGATAGTTTCAGCTGACATCCAAGTAAGAACTCTGTGTAATGGGGCGTTAATTTTGTTTTTTAGGTTTCAAGTGTCATAGGGACAAAATGGGGACAATAAGAAAAAATGAGATTTTCAAGGGGAGCTCGGTAATCCCTCGACAAAATACCATGAGAAAGTATGCACTTTATTTAAAAACGAACATGCAGCTGGGAACCTGAAAAAGATAATCTGTGACTTCGTTAAGAATTTGAATATCAGACCTTCCCATGGTGCTTTAAACTACGGAGCTGCGTTACAAGCCAGTCCAGCATACTGATAAGATCGGCAATCAGTATTTGCTCGAATATTCGTCGGAAACTTTCGAGGGGGGAGGAGATGGGAGAGACTCTGTGACCCTTAGTAGGTGGAGTGTATCATCTCATGTATTTCTGGCCTGGATTCGACTCCCCGGCGATTCTGGTATATGTGGGTTGCCTTGGTTACCGTTTTTTTTCCTCTAGCCATCTTAATTTTCTCCCAATATTGATAAGATCGATATCATTTTTGGATTATCCAGAAAAAATAAGAATTCTCGTGAAGGAAATAACCGTGATTGGCCTTGGAGAAGAGGTCGAAAAAAATACAAAACAAGGAACGTCTCAGTGAACACGACGAAACAAATATCAAATTCGTAGAAGAGGCCATCAATTGCATACCTCTGGCAAATGAAGATGGAGCTGATTTTGAAAATGCCGCTTTCATTTTTAATCCTCCAGTCAGGCAGTTTATTGCTATAGCAGGAAAGGGTGATTGGAAATATTACTTCTCCGAGGATGGCAGCAACAATATAACCTGCAAATGTGTCCGCAAACCCTGACTGATGTACCTCTGAAACAAAGGCACATTGGGTTTTTCTAATATCACCTTGTTATTGTTTCTTGCTGAAATAGTCATCAAGGCTTTTAGGTCTAATTAAGTGTAATCTTGGAGAATTAAATATAGGTTTTATGTCTCATTTAGTTGTGCTTTTTAGAGCACCAAACACTCTAGCCAAAGGTACCGGTTTAGTTAATTTTTCTGTGATACACAGAACGTCACTGCCTTCGTAGTTCCCGATCGCTGTGTTCTGAAAGCCGCTCTTGCAGATTAAATTGTTGAGTACTGATAAGTAAATTCAAGGAGATTTTAGATG